CCCAGGCCCAGAGTTCAAGCCCCATGACCAACAGAAAAAAGAAAAGAGTTAGCAATCACTATCTTCCGTGGCAGGAAGTCTGTGGTGTCACGGTCAAATCTATCCCACAGGGAGCAAAATGGTGTTTTCAAGCATCCTTGAGTCATTGCCATCATTTCTACCAGTTCCTTTCTCCGACCACACACACACACACACACACACACACACACACACTGGTCGATGCAGCTATCACAATATTTTCCTTCCCACCCAGCATACACAAGAGTACTTTTTTGTTTTTTCCCCGGTCTCGAGTTCTTCTAGTGTTGCATAATGTGACAGGGTTATTAAATCAATTTCTCTTCCTCTCTTTATAAATAACCCACAGCATCAAAGCCTAGAAAGCCTTCAGATTGAAAGAGATGACAATCTAGAAGGCGTTTTGGATTCATTTACACACACACACACACACACACACACCAACTCTCACATAAACTCACACACTTGTTTATTAGAGTATGTGTGGGCTGGGTTGTGTACATGAGAGTGTTATTATGATACCAGTGGTGTTACATGGCTCTATTCATGGATACGGTGCCGGTTTGGGAGGAGGGGGCTAAAACGTGATGAGCATGTTGGAGTATGTTTCAGTCCTTCCCTCTGTGAGGAAGAAATGCGTTCCACAGCCAGGGGTGGCAAAAGAATTGGGGTGTCTGTGTGTTACCACTCAAAATCTTATAAATACTCATCAGAGCATTGCCTCTGTCTCCTCTCTGGCCCCTTAGGTAGGAATACATGGGTATGATCATCTCAGAGAAGCATGTGGGCTTTGGGACTACATATTCATTTGGTTTTCTTGCTCACAGTTGGGTGCTCGACCATTTGAGCCATGCCTGGATTTTTGCTGATTGGAGATGGGAGTCTCTATAGCCTTTTCTGCCCAGGCTAACTTTGAACTGTGGTCCTTCGGGTCTCTATGCTGAGTTGCTAGGATTACAGATGTGATTCACCAGCACCTAGCTTAAACAACTTCTTCTTCTTAAACAACTTCTTCCTCTTCCTCCTCCTCCTCCTCCTTCTTCTCCTCCTCTTCTTCTTCTCCTTCTTCTTCTTCTCCTTCTCCTTCTTCTTCTCATCAATTATTTTGTGGTACTGGAGTTTGGACTCAGGGCTTTGTTAAGCTGGTGCTCTACTACTTGAACTATGACTCCAGTCCTCACTGAAGTCATTTTTAAAATTAAAAAAAAAATAAAAGTAAGTCAGGTGCCAGTGGTTCACGCCTGTCATCCTAGCTACACAGGAGGCTTTGACCTGAGGATCACAGTTCAAAGCCAGCCTGGACAGGAAAGTCCATGAGACTCTTATCTCCAATAAACCACCAGAAAACCAGAAGTGGCGCTGTGGCTCAAGTGGTAGAGCACTCACCTTGGGCTGAAGTGCTGAGGGACAGCACCCAGGCCCAGAGTTCAAGTCCCAGGACTACTGACACCTCTCTCTCTCTCTCTCTCTCTCTCTCTCTCACACACACACACATGCACACACAGAGGCTGACACCAATCCAAGGAGGAGGGGTAGTGAGAAGACATCAATCTTCTTCCTCCTTCAATATACAATCATAAACTGTAATCTTCCTGCTAGCACTCAACCTGCATGCTCAAGAAGAAAACACCGAGGATTAAGATGTTCAGGCATGAGAGGAAAAGTCTCAAAATGTGGAAAACAGAGCTACTCAGGATGGGGAACCTGAATCAAGATAAAGTATTTCATTAGCCTATACCTTGACCCCAAGAAAGCCTAGGATTTCCAGAAGGGAAGAATGTTCTTGTCATTTTTGTCAGCTGAATGACTGAAAACTGACGTGAACACCAAAGCAATAAAATAAAATAAAATAAAATGGGAAGGGAGTTTATCAGCATGGTCTCTCTCTCTCTCTCTCTCTGATGCTGAGTTGAGAGATTAGATCTTGAGAGAGATTCCCCAGGTTGATGCCAGTGGTCAGTCAGAGATTTGGTAGGACCAGAAGAGCAGATCAAGACTCACTTGGGTTGGAGGCCTGGTGCCAGTGGCTCACGCCTGTCATCCTAGATACTCAGGAGGCTGAGATCTGAGGATCACGGTTCAAAGCCAGCCCAGGCCAGGAAAATCCATGAGACTCTGATCTCCAATGAACCACCAGAAAACCAGAAGTGGCACCATGGCTCAAGGGGTAGAGCACTCGCCTTGAGCTGAAGAGCTGAGGGACAGCGCCCAGGCCCAGAGTTCAGACCCTATGACCGGCAAAAAATTTTATAAAAAGTGCTTGGGAGAATACCTGATACTGTATTAATACGATATGTTTAACTAGCAAATCACTGTTAATATTATTAGCAAATGGTATTAATATTAGTAAAGTAGAACCTGATATTACATAAATACTCTCCACATATTTAATTAATAAATCACTATCAATATTACTGGCAAATAATGATATGCATAGAATTGTACTTGGTACTGTAGAAATACTCTCGACATATTTAATTGATAAATCACTACTAATGTCCTCAGCAAATAATCAGTGATATTATTTGGACTATATAATTATTAATAGATTGACATTCTCATTATTTTCAAAAGATATAACAGATTAACTGGGACAAAGGAAAGATGGTTAAGGAGCCAGTAATCAATTATGTTATGAGTTACACAGAAAAGACTTCAAAAAAAAAAATCTCAGCCAGGCGCCAGTGGTGCATGTCTATAATCCTAGCTACTCAGGAGGCTGAGATCTGAGGATCACGGTTCTTAGCCAGCCCAGGCAAGAAAGGCCGGGGTGGGGTGGAAGGGGGAAAGGCCAGAAAGGCCAAGAAAAAGCCAGAAGTAGTGCTGTGGCTCAAGTGGCAGAGCGCTAGCCTTGAGTCAAAAGAAGCTCAGGAACTCAGGGACAGCGCCCAGGCCCCAAGTTCAAGCCCCAGGACCAGCCAAAAATTTGAAGGTGATTACATCTATTCAGAGGCAGAGTGCTCTTAGTGGTAGATGCTCTGATAGTTCTTTTTGCCTGATCCTGGGGCTTGAACTCAGGGCCTGGGTACTGTCCCTGCATCTCTTTGTGCTCAAGGCTCCACAGCACCACTTCCAGCTTTTCCTGAGTAGTTTATTGGAGATAAGAGTCTCCTGGATTTTCCTGCCCTGGCTGGCTTTGAACCACAATCCTCAGTTCTCAGCCTCCTGAGTAGCTGGGATGACAGGTGTGAGCCACCAGTGTGCCTAGATTTGATTGGTTCTATCTTTTTCATAACCATCTTGGGGTCCGGTCAGGCCCCACCACCGACTAAAACAAACAAACAAACAAACAAAAGATGAAGTGAGCAGTTTCACATGAAGCACTGGAAATAAACCTCCTCCAATACCCTCCAGCCAATATTGTTTTCAACGGAAATTCTATGAATCCTTAATGGAAGCCGAGCTGGAATCCTGTCTTTTCTATGAGACTGGATGTTTTTATTTTTACCATAGTTATTTTTTATTTATTTCATATCATCCTTGGGACATCATCTTTCTTAACCCCCAGCCAGCCTGCTGTTCTCATTGACAGAACAACTCTTGCCCAATCTGCTCTCCCATTATACCCTTTGTTGATAACCGGGCATGGCACCTGATGAGAAATGTCTTGGTCACTAGGCGAAAATGCTCTGAGTTTTTAAGCTGGTGAACGAAAGGGGGCAGGGTGAAAAATATCCACAGTATCCCAACGTCATGACAGAAAGAGACATCACCCATGGTTGGTCAATCGCATTCGTTTCTGGAATGCCCGATCTTATCCCAAGAAACCACCTCAAGATAGAAAATAACACACACACACACACACACACACACACACACACAATGTTGGGACAATCACCCAACCATGTGCATGCCTTCGTCTGTCTCTTCGGACTTGCTTACCTACCTCAAACCATTGTCCGTGGGACTGCATCTTGAGGATCACGCAGGGGTCAGGTTTGGAAAGAGCATCCCTGTCGGAAATGCCTTTGCACGCCACACGCAGCTCAACTTTGGTCAGGCAGGGACTGTTAAATATTCCCAGTGTGTTGGCAGCTGACTCATAGATGTTGCTCATCTTCTTCATTCTGTTTTAGGCCAGGAAGAAAGGAAGGAAGGAAGGAAGGAAGGAAGAAGAAGAAGAAGAAGAAGAAGAAGAAGAAGAAGAAGAAGAAGAAGAAGAAGAAGAAGA